AAGTTTTGTTTCCTAACGTTTCGCCAGCACCTGTGACCAGCATCTTCAGAGTGCAGGAGCACAGACAGAAGCAGTTCTGGGCACCCTGGGCACAGAGAGAACTGTGTGGCCACACAGCCCGGAAGACCCACACCAGCCAAAACATGTTTTAACTGCATATACCTCCATTTTTGCGTTGGTGGTAGAGAAATTTCTGTTTGCAGTCACTGAAAAGATTTAAAGTAATCATTAAGTAATAACTGATCTAGTGTAACTATACCCTTTTGCGCTCATTTTTTCCAGTAAAAACTTTACCACACAACAGTTCCAGGGCTTGGCACCTAGTTACCCACATCCATGTGCTCTGTGCATGGATGCCTAGGAAGGAAGCCAGAATGAAGTGACCTCAGGTTAGCAATCTTTTAAAGAGCAGGCAGAGTGATAAAAAGGGGATACAGAATAAATAGTTAATTATCTATCGATGCTGTACTGTTCCCTTGTGGTCAGTAGGCTATGAGGTGCTAAGGAGTCTGTGTCATTGGATTTCGATGTCCAATACAATTCTGTGGAGTCCTTGGTGTTCTATGCAGACATTTCATTACCCAACTAGGTAACATCTTCAGTGCTAGGAGCAGGGTTTGCTCTCTGTCGTGTGCTGGTGGGGGAGTTCCCTCCCCCCGGTAGTTCCTAGATTAGGCTGTTGTCTACTGCTTGTCAGCTATATAGCTTCCCAATAACATGACAGTTCTGCCAACTTCAAAAGAAATGGAAAGGGAAAAACATGTTCTGGATTCAATTTCTATGTAGTCATGAAATAATGTATACTTCCAGCACAATTCTCTATATGTTTATTCATCCAAGAGCAAACAACCACCTTATGTCTTAGTATGATGTTTGACCCAGTCACAATTAATAAAGCTTACTCTAAAATAAATGAGTTTATAGAACTCAGTCAACCATAATGGGGACTGTTTTGTTTATGACTTAACGTGATTAATAGATTCAGTTATTGTAAATTGTAAACCATGGTTTATCTCAGAATGATATATGAATTAAACCAGTATAATCAATGAGAATTTTGTTTTTTTAATGTAACTTGAGATTTTCTAGGCTAAAAAATGATGTAAGAACTATTGCAAAATCTTTCCCAAATTAACTACTGAGGGTTCCCTCCCTCCCCCAATAATTCCATATTGATCAAATTCCTTCTATTTTGTTTTTGGTTTCCAGAGTTCTTTAATGAAGGTCTGGCTATGAAATAGAAACATCACAATGGTTGGATTCACACAAGAACAATCCATATTATATATATAGATTTATGACAATGATATGAATATAGATTATAACAATCCATATTATATTAACAATCCATTGTTATATTATGGCATATAACAATGGATGAACCAGGCCTTGATTTGTTTAGCGTGATATCCAAATCAAAACTCTGTGCTGTTTATTGTCTTCCTCATAAAATGCCGGTCTTTGAAGGCAAGTAAAGAAGTACAGCTTCTTATTTTGATTCAAAATAAGAACCAACCAGAGTACTGAATCTGCACAAGTGATTGAAGAAGTTTAGGGTTGTTCAGTCACTCCCACTCTGGAGTATCTAGCTTGTGCAAGGCACATCTGAATTCTGGCTCAGCATGGAAGACAGTTTTTCAAAGACAAAAGAAAAAACCTGAACCAGACGACTCCATTATCACAAGGAACAGATAGAAATGATCCCACCTGCCAAAAAAGAGTGTGGCTTCAAGACATATATACTGTGCAGACATATATATTGTGCAGACTGGAGGAAAAGAACTGTAAGAATATAAACCTTGATTTCACTATAAATAGGGCTTGCATTCAATGCACAGCAGTTGCTGAAATTCTTTCATAAAGACTTCACAGGCTTTTCTATAATAAATCTACTTTTCAAAAGCTCTTGTGTCCCTGAATGCCTGTTGTGCCTGCTTCCAGTTCAGCTTGTTGAAAGAAGGCCAACTACAGTGTGGAATGCAGACACATAAACTTCTTTATAACTTCTTGCATTTCAACAGCAAATAGAGGCTAATTGTACATGATACTATAAGCCATAAAGTAGTTTGTTTGCTTTTAGATTAGCATGATGTGTTAGACCTGGATGACATCTAAAAGGGCAGACCCAATACATTTGTAATCCACTAAAATGCTTCATTATATTGTTCCCATGTGTAGAAAGTATCTCTTGTGGACTATGCCATAAGATTTTCTCTTTCTCAAGGCAACAGAATTCCTTTTGCTAGGAAATACACACCAAGATGAAAACTATAAACATGAGTTGCCATTGAAAATGGCAGCCTTGTAGCTAATTTTCACTCCTCATAGTAGCATACAATTCTAAATACATCTGACTCACTTGATAAGCTATCATGTTATATACATCATTACAATGTTGTCTTAATCACTTTTGTTTCAGGACCTGCTCCAACAAGTTCAATGCTGCTTACAGAAGTCATTTTTTCCCTTTCATATTATAACAATGTTAAGAGGTAGATGAGGCCACAAGAGAACAGCTCAACAGTGATACCAATTTTCTGAAAAGCGAAATTTAGGCAGAAGATTTTCCAAATTCTTGAAGAAACTAATAAGACCCACTTTTAATAAAATTAGAAAAAGTATACCATTTTTCCAATAGCCAGAAGTTACTGAAGTGAAATAGTTGAAATAAACAGTGGAATAAAATGCAGTTAATATCATTTGCATATTTTAATCAATGAATTAAAACATTTACTTGGAAAGTATTTTTAATTGTTGCTGGTACTGCAATACATGACAGATAAATAGAGCATACTTCCTTATTTAAATTTAAGGGGAAAAGGTGTTCATCTTCATCTGTATTTGCCTGTCTTCTAAAGTCAGGCAAAAAACTGTATCTTTGTTGAAATAATCTGGATTCTTATGGGATACCGTGCCTGTGAGAACAACCATGACAGCCACTGCTGCTGTTGGGGAATATTTCACTCTTCCTCCATATATGGTCTATGTGCTTTAGGAAAAAGGAGAAGATTCTGGAAGTAGCCACTAATTTATAATTGAAAGCATAATAGCAACAGTTCTTGCTTATAAGTCACTCTTGCCTGAAACCACCTCTGCATGTGAAAAACAAGCAATCAGTTTTTCCAGAAGAGATTTCTTTTCATAGAACCACCAGATCTGGATAGCAAAAAAAGGGATCATCAGATAGCTCCAATTTGATATAGGAAAGTCTTCTTTGCTCTCATCTGGATTTTTGCAGACCAGATCTGGTAGCAGTACTTTTTCAGTAGTGATGAATATACTGTATTGTGCATCTAAGAGATGTATAAATATAGTCACATGAAAAAGAAAGTACACCCTCTTTGAGTTCTATGGTTTTACATATCAGGACATAATAAAA